TGTGAGGATGCAGTGAAAAGCAGCTGTCTGCAAGCTAGGAAGAGAGCTCTCACAAGATACCAGAATGCCTGGCACCCTGAGCTTTTCTACTGTCCAGCCTCCAGAACTGTGAGAAAACAAATTTCTGTTGTTTAAGGCACCCAGTCTATGGTATTTATTACCGTAGCCCAAACTAAGACAGCCCTCATGTTAAAAATGAATACTTTGTATTGCCGTCTTTTATATACCGAAATTAAACGTATTAAAAATGTAACTTACAGGGGCACCTGGGTGGCTCAGTCGGTTGAGCGACCGACTTCAGCGCAGGTCATGATCTCACGGTTTGTGAGTTTCAGCCCCGCGTTGGGCTCTGTGCTGACAGCTCAGAGCCTGGAGTCTGCTTCTGATTCTGTGTCTCCCTCTCTCTCTGCCCCTCCCTCACTCGTGCTCTGTCTCTGTCTCAGAAATAAACAAACATTTAAAAAAAAATTTTTTTTTAAATGTAACTTATGGAGTGCCTGGGTAGCTCAGTTGGTTTGATTTCGGCTTAGGTCTGATCTCATAGTTAGTGAGTTCAAGCCCCCCACATCAGGCTCTGTGCAGACAGTGTGGAGCCTACTTGGGATTCTGCCTCCCTCTCTCTCTGCCCCTCCCCTGCTTGCTCTCTCGCGCTCTCTCTCTCTCTCTCAAAAATAAATAAAACTAAACTTAAAAATATTTTTAAAAATTAAAAAAATAAAAATGTAACTTCTTACATACCCACTTTCCAAAAAAATAAATCAATGAATTGTCTTAATTGTAGTATAGAGAAATTAATGGAACATGAGTCAATTTTTTTTAATGTTTATTTATTTTTGAGAGACAGACAGAGTGAGAGTGGGGGAGGGGCAGAGAGGGAGGGAGACACAGAATCCGAAGCAGGCTCCAGGCTCTGAGCTGTCAGCACAGAGCCTGACATGGGGCTCCAACTCACAAACCGTGAGATCATGACCTGAGCTGAAGTCCGGCACTTAACCAATGGAGCCTCCCAGGCACCCCTATGGAACATGGCTTAAAATACACACTTCAGTAGATAAATGCCAAGTATGACTATTCTAAAAAATATAAGGGATGTTTGCACTCACTTACATAAATAAGTTTGAAGTTGAAAAAAAATTCTTTTTAACATTTATTTATTATTGAGAGACAGAGCATGAGTGGGGCAGAGACAGGAGGAGACACAGAATCTGAAGGAGGCTCCAGGCTCTGAGCTGTCAGCACAGAGCCCGACGTGGGGCTCGAACTCACAAACCGAGAGAGATCATGACCTGAGCTGAAGTCAGACACTCAACCGACTGAGCCACCCAGGCGCCCCAATAAGTTTGAAGTTTTAAAATGTAAGTAGATCATGGGGAGCCTGGGCGGCTCAGTCGGTTGAGCATGCAACTCTTGACTTTGGCTCAGGTCAGGATCTCACAGTTCATGAGTTCAAGCCCGCATCGGGCTCTGTACTGAAAGCTTGGTATTCTCTGTTTCCTTCTCTCTCTCTCTCTGCCCCTACCCTGCTCACGCTCTCTCTCTCTCTCTCAAAAATAAATGAACATTTAAAGAGATATAAATAAAATGTAAGAAGATCATAAGCCATTCCATACAAGAAAACCAGGAAAATAAATAAGCTGCTGTATACTTCATCATGGTATAATACTACACCATATATTTTTAACAAAACAAAGTATAATCTTTATAATATATTTGTATTCCTACAATATATGCTGTATCTCAAAACAATGTAAAGGTACTCTTGTTTTATGTAGAGTTAGACTGGTTCTAATAATTATGAACATGTTTTTCACCTCCATTATGGTTGGTGAAACAGCTGAAAGCCATGTAGGACATAAGAATTCCTCATTGTTTGGAACAGTCCCATTATTGGTAGAATACCTCATGTCCCTGATCATTAAATATTAAGAGTACTTCCCCTCAATGACTGTAATAACAGTCCCTGTTAATGTCTAAAATGCCACCTTGAGAGTAGTACAATGTCTACTGAGAACCAGTGCATTAAATGAATGCCTATTATACACAGGCACATGGAAGTACACATAGGGGAGAGAAGCAGCCAATGATTCAGGTGGAATAATGGTAGAACAGAGGAGACATGAAACTAAAAGAACATGAGTGTTTATGAGAACAGCTGGTTATAATGCATTCAGGGTAAAGAGAGTTGAGTTTGGCCAAAAGAGTATACAATGACCAAGCAGCTACAAATATTAAAAAGGGAAGCAGCAGATTTAAAAGATAAAGAAAAGTAGGGAAAATAGAAAATAAGGATGTTAAAAAGCCAATATCCCTCAGTATACACCTTCCACTCAAACGAGACTAGTAGTTTCTCTTTTCTCCCAGGACACTGCACTTATTCCAAATCCCAAGATGTTTTCGCACTGCTTTCCTTCTCTTGCCTATGCAAAATATATTTCTCAACAGAATTTAGGCAAAGTTCCATTTTTCTAGAAATTTTTTTGCAAGCACTCCCACATTTATGACATTTTTCCTTGTAGAAAGCCAAGTGCTCTACTACCTGAATATTTATTAACCAGCTACTATGTGCCTATAAGAAGAGCCTTTATTCTTTCCATAGAGAAGATAGCAGTGCTCAAGACTATAGATACATTTCTATGAAAATCTACCCCTTGAATACAAAAATAATCCTGTGACCTTACTTACCACCCACTGCCTTACAAGGGTAGTATGAATGATCAATTTCTACTCTAACCCTAAAAGTAAAGAATCCAGAGGTGAAAGTGGGACAGAATTAAGAAGTTCAGTTCTTTCAAAGAATTCATTTGGAAAAGAAGATTGCAAACATATACACCCATCTTAAATGGACCAGCCAACATACAGCTTACTTTATAAGCCAACATATAGTTACTTTAGGATAAATACTGGTAACCTGTAACTTTATCCCTGTCTCTTCATTCTGTATTTTTATATATTTGGTTTGCTTATTTTCTATTAATAATCAATCCAATCACACAATACACATTTTTAGGAATCCACACCATACATCAGATAATATGCTAGGTACTAGCAATTATCGATAAGCTAGATCAATAAGGTCCCTATCATCCTGGAACTTAGAGATTAGTAAAACAAGCGGATTTTAAACAAAGATGCAAATAAAGATGAAAATAAATATATAATTATAAATCGTGAAGCATAACTTGAAGGAAATGTACAAAGACAGGCTTATCCCTTAAGTAGGCCAACTAAAGTGACTTCCCTGAGCCTCATGCAAGATAATGAATATTATACTTTTTGACTTACAGTGTGTGCACATACACATATATAACACACATCAGTGTGCATGTACATGAGTGTGTGTGTGTGTGTGTGTGTGTGTGTGTGTGTGTGTTTGAATATATTCCACATAACAGAGCAGGTCTGCATCAGGTGAATTATGCCAACACATACTCCTCTAGTGGCAGCCTTAAACAAGGGCACAACTATACATAAATGCTATACAAAGGGCAGTTCCACCAATACAAATGCTATTATATTCATAGTCATACTAGTGGTTCTCAAATGCTAAAATTTGGATTGATGGCCAAGAGAACTGCATCAAAACCACCTGGAAACTTGTCAAAAATAAAAAATTTCCCACTCTCCATTGTCAATAATTTCAATTTAGTACCTAGAATGAATTTTTATAAAGTTCTATCTACATAATTATGATACTGTTAGATGTGAGCCTTTAGTCAGACAGTGCCTTGACTCATTACTTAACTGTTCCATAGTTCTTTTATCATGCTCAAAGCATGGCAAAGTACTCAAACTATGCTACTCAGTGCCAGTAAGCACAAAATAAATTATTTTCAAATAAATAAGCAAAGATATTGTAAGGAAAGTTATGATTTTTTTTGTTCTTGTTGTTTTCTCAAATACAATGATACGCCTTATCAAGAAGCTTTCACTTAGGAAGAGAAACGACAAACTCTGAGACAATGCTTCTCAAAATGAAGGACACAAACTATGAGTGGTATAGCAGATAATTTAATATGGTACCCCAAGTGATTTTAGATGATATACAAGATTATTTTACATGGCACATGGACATACACTAAATTACACTGAATTACAAAGAAAAAAATGTATTATCTTTTCAATTCTCTTTCAGTTAGTTATTGTTGTGTCTTCCACACCTATCACTGCTTATCTCATTTTAAGAAATAGAGAACATGCCTCCAAGCCTTTGGAAAACAACTGTTATCTAGCCTGAACTTAGTAACATTGTTTTGTTCATTGTATCCTTTAGGACTATCATCCATTTAAAACATAGGATACTGATTTTTCATTTATAATAGTGAGATAAATACACAAGTGAATTTAAAGAGAATAGCATAAATTGCATGGAGATCCCGTAAAAATTATAAGGATGCTCTATAGATGACTGAAGTTTAGAAACAGTACTGTGTGGGGGCACCTGGGTGGCTCGGTTAAGCGGCCGACTTTGGCTCAGGTCATGATCTCGCGGTCCGTGAGTTCAAGCCCCGCATCGGGCTCTGTGCTGACCGCTCAGAGCCTGGAGCCTGTTTCAGAATCTCTGTCTCCCTCTCTCTCTCTCTCTCTGACCCTCCCCCGTTCATGCTCTGTCTCTCTCTGTCTCAAAAATAAATAAACGTTAAAAAAAAATTAAAAAAAAAAGAAACAGTACTGTGTGAGGTATTACTAAAAGTTACAATCAATTTCTCTATGTCTCTCTCACACACATATATACATATACATACACAAACACATTCAATAAGTAATTAATCTAAATGAATAATCAAAAGCCACAAACTGTTACAGGAAGACAGTCAATGAAAAGTCTATTCTACCACTTAACAATGTAGCCAAAATAATGATATTCCATGATATGACAATCACTGTTTGTATATTTTCTCGACGAAATGATTATGATAATCTCTGACTACACATATAAATAATGTACATATGCTTTTATGTGAAGCCAGGAGAATTATCATTCAGTAATTTATACTACATACCTTATAATCCTTGGGTCGGTAGCAACCAAGATGAGAATGATCTGTAAAAGGGTATATCAAAGAATTAAACAATAAATATTTCATACTAAAAAGAAGAAAATTTGGGTTCATTTTTGGTTTTTGCAATTCTATTTCTATGATTATAATTTCATACAGCAGTTTTCAGAAATACCTTAAAGTCCATTAACAACGTTTTATAAGTAAAGATGATATAACACAAGTTAAAATCTGTGTCAGTTCTTGGGGCACCTGGGTGGCTCCTACAGTTAGGCATCTGACTCGATTTTAGCTTGGGTCATGATCTCACAGTTTGTGGGATCAAGCCCCACATGGGGCTCTGTGCTGGCAGCATGGAGTCTGCTTGGGATTCTCACTCCCTCTCTCTCTGCCCCTCCTCTGCTTGTGCATGCTTGTGCTCTCTCTCTCTCAAAATAAATAAACTTTATTTTAAAAATCTGTATCAGTTCTTCAATAATTAAGTGATTCCACAAATACTATTTTCATTAGAGTAGGATATATCAGAATATAGACCGGAATAATTTTTTTGTTGCTAATCCAATTTGCCTATATGAAATGGATAATCTTTAATTGATAAACCAGTTTATGACAAAATATAATTTGAATGTATATATTTGATAGATATTATCAAACTGTATGTGAATCCATGCTTGATTTGAGTGAGTATAATGGAAACAGGACCAGCTTCAGAGTGTGGTAGCTCATGTGGTAGCATAAGTGTATAGACCTTGTTGACAAATAGATCTGCATTATGGTCCAGTCCCCAGCACCTCTTGTATAACTTCAGCCTCATTATTCAACCTTTCTAAGTCTCAGATTCCTCATCTATCTCATCATAATCTGCTTTAAATATTATATTAGAGATCACATGTAAGGCATTAAAATAAATGTTAGCTACTATTATTAACACCGTCATCAACATCATTACTGTCAAATTCTAAGTCAACAAGCCTAGCTGCAATTTCTGACTCTACCACTTATCGAACATATTGCCTTGATCAAGTTATAGAATTAATCTGTGTTTCTTTCCTCATTTTAAAAGTATGAAGATGGGGCGCCTGGGTGGCTCAGTCGGTTGAGCGTCCGACTTTGGCTCAGGTCGTGATCTCACGGTCCGTGAGTTCGAGCCCCCCCGTTGGGCTCTGTGCTGACAGCTCAGAGCCTGGATCCTGCTTCAGATTCTGTGTCTCCCTCTCTCTCTCTGACCCTCCCCCCACTCATGCTCTGTCTCTCTCTGTCTCAAAAATAAATAAACGTTAAAAAAAAATTTTTTTTTTAAAAAGTATGAAGACAATGGCTACTTTGCTTCACAGAGTCATAGTAATGATTAAATTACACAGCTTATAAAAGTTTCTAGCACAGTATCTGTGCTAGATTATAAAACTATTCTAAATCTCTCCCAGGGTAAGGACCACTATATTACACATGCAGATTTTGGGTTTTTACTCATTACTTAAAGAAGTCAACATTTAACTACTATAATCTCTATATATTGACATTCAAGCACATCATGACCACTACTTCTCATACATTCTAGTCAAAAGCACTCTAACATTCTATATTTTACTTTCCCATGCCATCATATCAAAAAAAAAAAAAAGACTATATAGAGACCTAGTCTATATTCAGTCAATTAATCACCTATCTTTTACGGCACAAGATCTTGTTTGTTTTCCAAGTGTCCTGAATCATCATAGAGAATAGCTGAAACATCAATGTCTTTCACACAAAGCCAACTTCACCATGTAATTCAGTAAGACTCAACTTACTTCAAGGGCTTTTCAAAATTACAAATAAAATAAATCCCATCTCAACTCCTCTTCCATAAAGTCTAATAATGTACAGCATGGCCACAGGAGCAGGAGAAATAAAAGAATGATAAGGACATAATGAACCTAATTCTCCACACATGTTAACTTTGAAAATTAAGGTAATAATTTCTGAACTTGGTATATGTTCTTTCTTGCAGCTAATGTAATATGAAAAGTATCAGTGTATTAAAACATTTATAAACTTACCCTAATACGACAGATTTGTAATTTTTTTATTTTTAGAAATCAAGCTGTTACTGAGGTTCCCAATGTTTGCCCTAAATCACTCTTACCAATAATTACTCACTAACTATCTTCTAAAAGCAGGAGATAAAGGACATAAAAAGTCATGGCCCGCAGTCCTAAAATGCTTGTACTTTACTTGGGTTAAGTTATACAAAGTTGAATAACAGCATCATATAAGAAGAGTGTGAAGTCAGATTGGTACAAGCAATTAATGCAATTAGTAAGTCCTATCAGAAATAAATCTCTCAAAACTAAAGCAATCAGAAAAAAATTCCTAAAGGACAAGAAAGCTAACCTGGACCTTAATGCATGGGCCACACTTAAGAAAAGTATGAAGAAAAATTAAAAGCTAATTCAGATTAGTGTGTGTAATGTGATATGTGTGTGTGATCTTGACCAACTTTGACTTTACTTCTTTAAACCTCTTCATCTGTAAAATAATAGTTTCTAACATTCTTGAGGTTATCTTAACTAACCAATAAAATAGTAGTACTTAAAATAGAGGCCAGCAGAAAATACACATGCAATAAATATTGACTATTATTTGATTCTCTAACAACCTCATGAAATAGATGTTATGAACTAAATGCTATATCCTCCCAAAATTGATATGTTGAAGCCCTAACCCCCAAGGTGATGGTATTTGGAGATGGGACTGTTGGGTAGTCATTAGGATTAGACTGGTCACAAAGGTAGGTCCCTCATGGTAGAAAGAGTGCCCTTATAAGAGACACCAGAGAGCTTGCACACATGCATGTGCTTGCTTAAGCAAGCTTTGTGCTTGCTTGATTTATTTATCTGCATGTGCAGAGCTTGCAACTCTGTTATCAGCCAATTCCTTCTATCAACTTAATTCTTGAGCCCCATTCTGATGGTTACTGCCAACATGTGTTCCCTATGAGTCAATCCCTATCTTGGCAACCTGTATACTATCCTACGTTGAAGGGTACTATCATCTTCCTTTTTCCTAATTTCAAGGAATTGAACTCCATTCTGGTAGTTAGTGCTACTCTATTGCAAAACATTCCTGTTGGCAAATATGTGTACCTATGAACCTTCAAAGAGCATGCCCCTGGAGTCCTTTATCAGCAATTACCCTACTGCTATCCCAATGCCCACACAACACCCTAAGGTTGGCTTCTGCTCTCCTGTGAATCTTCATGGAGCACACAGCCATGAATTTGCTATATGCCAGTCTCTATTACTGGAAGCAAAGCTAAGAAGTCCAGCTTTATAAAATAAAACCAGCATTTAATATCCCTCAGGGGATCCAACCTTCTAAAAAGGAAAGACACATAACATGTGTTTTCTATCTCTGGTTCGCTTGTGATACATTGACCGGAAACTGTTTACTCTGACCTCTGATGTTCTCATCTTTCTTATTACTAATTTTGTCTGAAGTCTCAGTAGCAAAAGTCTCAGACTTTCCCCCTCACTATTTTTTTCTTGTCTGAAGTTTAGCAAACAGCAAACTTATCAGTGATTGGAAGGGTGATGGTCATCAAAAAAGATAAATAAATACCTAATAAGCACATGAAGAAAACATTAAATGCCGTTAGTTAAATATAAATTACAATTGCAGTGAGACAAAGGGAATAACAAGTGTTGTCAAAGATGTGGAGAAATTGGACCATCATACACTGCCGGTGGGAATGGAAAATGGTAGTCATGTTGGAAAACAGTTGGCCATTTCTTAAAAAGTTAAACATAAATTTACCAGATGAACTGGCAATTCCACTCCTAGGTATCTATGCAAAGACTTCAATGCAAACGTTCAAAATAGCATCCTCCATAATAGCCAAAAAGTGGAAACAATCCAGGGACTCAGGTTGGGAATATACATTTACTGCCAATGGGTATGAGGAAACTCTTTTGGATGATTAAAATATTCTAAAAATGGATTGTGGAGATTTTACAATGGTGCAAATTCAAAATCCTTCAGTTTTGTGCTCAAAACAGCTGAATTTTATGATATATAAGGTATAGCTTACTAAAGCTGTTAAAGATGTTTAATAAATAATAGAGAAATGAAGAAACTAAAAAAGGAGTTCCCAAAAATGACACAGTTCAGATGCCCACTGGTCTATGAGAGGAGGAGGCACACATGTAATTAAAGACAAAACAAAATATTTTGTAAATAAGTATAAACATGATGATATGCTATTTTACTCAGAACAGTAAAATGTTACCATTTATTGCTATGTATTCAAATTATGACATATTAGGATTTGGAATGTAATTTCCAATTTATTTTACAAACAAAAACCATCAAACCTAGGGATTAGTGAAAGCTCATAAAGGATTACAATTTTAGGTAGAAATGAAACTCAGAAAAGAATCTTCAAATGAAGGTAATAAGAGAAGTTTCCTCCAAGGAGGAGACAGAATCTAACGTCTTTTCAAATTCCAAGCAAATAAAAAAGGGACCAGGATGATGCCTTCAATTTCCTTTTCAAAAACATCAATGATTGGATAAAGCTTATAAACATTCTTGCAGCACAAGACATGTTGCATCTCTTCAAAGGGACTGCACAAATTACAATTAGAATGATCCACTATGGAAATGCCAAAGAAAGAAAAAATGTGCTTGAAAAATGTATCTTAAAAACAAAACAAAACACCTGAGTGTAAGTAGAGAAAGTAGTAGGAGGGTGGGAGGAAGGAAGTTGTGGTGAGAAGCCCTGGACCCCAGACTGACCAGGGCTGTTCTGGAACTCTTTAATAAGCCACTTAACCTGTCCAGGCCTCTCTGTCATTTTTCTTGATCAAATATAGTTAAATTCATCCTCACGCAATTATTATGATGACTAAAATAGTAATGGCGGTGAAATGGTATCCTATAAAAACTTAAAAATTTTTAGGCAAGATAATTTGGCAAGAAAATGTTTAAGAATTTCCATTAAAGTAATATTAGTCATTAGTGAAAATTCACTCTTTCTTAAGAGACTCTATCATAAGAAATTCCTACATGTATTTAAATAGTGGATGAGACCCCAAAACACAACCACTCAATTGTCAGAAAGGGGAAAAAAAAAAAGGCAGTCAAAAGAATAGGGACTTTAAAGTAGAGAAATGAAATGGAAAAACCCTTTCTTTAAAAGACAAGTAATAAATGTACAAAGAATAGAATTTTTAAAAATCACTGTTTGGCAAACTTTCCAGTAATAAATTATTTCAAGCAAGAATCATCAGTATATGCTACAGGGGTCAAAGTTGAGGAGTAACAGGATGTAATAGTCTCAGAGTATCTCCCCATTAATTACTAAGAGAAGAAATAGCACCTTTGTGACAGAGAAATCTAGCAGACCCCATCTTAATTAAGTAAGCAAATGAATATCACCAGTAACAAAGCAATGTGACATACTTCCTAGCATGTTGCACGCATCACTTCTGTTGTATTCTCGGGGGAATGAATAACCTAAATCTAATCATGAGGAAAAATCAAACAAACCCAAATTGAGAGACATTCTATCAAATAACTGTCCTGAACTCTTCAAAATTATCAATGTCAAACACAAAAAAAGATTAAAGAACTGATCCATTTTAAATTTTTTTTTTCAACATTTATTTATTTTGGGGACAGAGAGAGACAGAGCATGAACGGGGGAGGGGCAGAGAGAGAGGGAGACACAGAATCGGAAACAGGCTCCAGGCTCTGAGCCATCAGCCCAGAGCCTGACGCGGGGCTCGAACTCACGGACCGTGAGATCGTGACCTGGCTGAAGTCGGACGCTCAACCGACTGTGCCACCCAGGCGCCCCAGAACTGATCCATTTTAAAGAAAACTAAAGACACACGGCGACTTAAGGCCATGCGTGACGTGGAATTTCTTTTGCTATAAAGATATTATTAGCACAAGCGGCCAAATGTGACTTAGGTTTATAGATTAGCCTATTATTATTATTATTATTATTATTATTATTATTATTATATCACTGTTAATTTTCTGCTTTTCATAATTGCATCACATAAGATAATATCTGTATTAGTCTCCTCGGGCTGCCATAACAAAATGCCACAGACCAAAGGGATTACACGACAGACATCTATCTCTCCGTTCTGGAGGCTGGAAGTCTGAAATCCAGGTGCCAGTGCAGTCAGGTTCCATGAAGAGCTCTGGCTCTGGCTTGAAGGTAGCCATCTACCTACTGCCTGTGTCCTCACAAGGCAGAGAGAAAAAGCAAGATCTCTGGTTTCTCTTCTTATAAGGGCATTGATTCTATCATGAAAGCCCCAACCTCCTAACCTTATCTAAATGTAATTACCTTCCAAAGGCCCTATCTCCAAATACCAGCACATTTAGGGTTAGAGTTTCAGCATAAAAATCTTGGAGGGACACAATTCTGTCCATAGCAATGTACTTGTCAAAAGAAAGTTAATACACAAACATACATACAGATATGGAGGCAGGGAGGGGAAGGAGCTAGAGAGGAAGAGGGAAAGCAAATATTAGCATTTGAGGATTCTGAAAGGTATAATGGGGATCTTTTATATTATTTCAACTTTTCTTTAAGTCTGAAATTATGTCTAAATAGAAAGTTAAAGGAAAAAATGCGGACCTCACTAATGACCTCTCTGATTGTACTTCACATAGGTAGCTGGCTGCGTCGATCAAAAGTTACTGAAATTTTAACAGTTCTGCTGGCAAATATATTATAATTGTCAAGAGACATCAGACGCTTCAGTGCATTCTAAAAACATCTTCCAAAGAAACATCTACATTGGAGTTATTTTCGATTTTCTTAAACCTTATTTTCCATGGCCATAAATTTCTTCCAAGAGGGGAAACAAAGTATAACATCTGTTCCTAATTTCATATAATCTGCTACCATGATAATAAAAGACTTATTGATTACCACATCTATCTCCCTGTTAACGCTAAAAAAGCTAAATAAATGAGCACAAATTCTGCATGTTCTCAGAGAAGAATGTTTCATTTCAACATTAAAAAGGGAAAGAGAGAGAGAGAGATTGTACACTACAGTTTAGAAACAGAAAGAGATGGGAGCTCACTATAAGTTATGATTGTGTTTTTTTTCACTCTGTCTCATTTTTCTTTTTCTATGCCTTCCTCAGTGTGTAATGAATTCACTTAAAGGCTGCTGGGGAATGTTGCTGACTGACCAGTCAATGACTATAGATATGACACTCAAATATCCCTAATTATAAAATACTATTTAATCTTCTTCCTAAAAGTCATCTTCATTATCACATTGAACTTAAGTAGTAATTTATCTAACCCATAGAACCAGGGCCTACAATAAAAAAGATTCTTATAAATTAAACATAAAAGACATTATCTCTTCATAAATATAATAATAAATAATTATTATATTGACAGCTGAAATTTACTAAGGCCTGTGTGCTAGGGCATTTTACATGGTCACATTTACTGGGTTATCTTCACTTTTTTTTTTTTTTAATGTTTTTATTTATTTATTTTTGGGAGGACAGAGAAACACAGCATGAGCCAGGGAGGGGCAGAGAGAAAGGGAGACACAGATTCTGAAGCAGGCTCCAGGCTCTGAGCTTTCAGCACAGAGCCCAATGCAGGGCTCAAACCCACAAACCATGAGATCATGACCTGAGCCAAAGTCAGATGCTTAACCGACTGAGCCACCCAGGCGCCCCTCTTCATTCTTTAATATACTGATTATCAAAGTAGTTAAAATGATTTGTTCAAGAATGCCCAATCTATAAATAAGTGACAGAGCAAGTATTCAAATATATATGTAATTTTATGTCTAAAACCCATAACCTTGAACTTTTTACTATGGTGCTTCCCAAATCTTTTCTACAAACTAAGGGGTATATGTTAAGGTAGGAAAATAGTTCCATAGTCAAATAATTTTAGAAATTGTTGAGCAAAACAAAATCAAGTTGTTTTTTTTTCCACTAAAAGGTATTAGTCTTTAATATGCTACTCTGTATGTTGAATCTCAAAGAGAGAGATTAGTTTATAGCAGCACAAAAATTCTATTATTTTTAAAGTACCTATATGGATGTCCCACAAGTTGTAAAAAAAGTAGCATATGCCTTACTACCTAATAATACAGCAAAGATTCTATTTTAGTTCACTGATGTCAAGTTAAAGGCTTGACTGTAGCCAAGGCAAGTAAAGCAATGAAGAGAAATAACTTTTAGCTTACCATTGTGCATCCTGGACCATCCATCTCTTTCACAGTCTCTGCCCGAAGAACCAAATAAAGCATCGGCCCTGGGACTTGGAGGGTCGACCTAGAAGAAGAAGGATTTCATAAAGTCAAAAAGAACTTAAATGTTCTTCCAGTCTCATGGCACCAGAAAATCAACTCAAGTACATAGACTATTAGTCGTCAGGTTAATGTGATAGTGCCTATTATGGTTCAGGCATATCCCAAAGCCAGAGCTTAGTTGAGTATTTTGCTGTTCATGTTTAAATAAAATTGAAATTAAACTTCAGAAATCTCTAATTATATACTGAGTCTACTTTCAAATGAACAGATTTATAGTTAAAAATGCCCTCTACCCCATTGTGTAGGTGGCTTTCCATTACAAAGTTACAAAAAGAGGAATCTATTTTGCCACATTTAAAAATTTGCCACATTTGCTACTTATATAGATGTTGAATCCAAACAGTGTCATTATTCGGCTGCGTTCAGAGCCCAGCATGCAGAGTGCTTCATAGCCTACAGTTAATAACAGTTAAGCATGTTTTCTAATGAAGAATAAAAAAGTCAGAGTGATGTAAATAATAAAAAAGATAGCTCTATTCATCAAAATTAAAAACTTAGTACATTAAAGGGACGATATTAAGAGAGTGAAAAGCAACCCTTGGAATAAAAATAACTTGCAAATAATTATCTATTAAGGCATTAATATCCAAAATATATGAAGAAACTTCTACAACTTAAAAAAAAACCCTCAATTAAAAAGTGAGCAGAGAAGTTAAATACACATTTCTCCAAAAGATACACAAATGACCAATAAACACAAGAAAAAATGTTCGATATCACTAATCATTAGGGAAATGCAAATCAAAATCATAGTGAAAGATACTACTTCATGATATAAACGTACTTAACACTACTGAGTTATACTTGAGTTTTAACTATGGTGCTTCCCAAATCTTTTCCACAAACTAAGGAGTAAATGTTAAGGTAGGAATACAGTTTCACTTAATCACTTAAAAATGATTAAAATAGTAAATTTTATATTGTGTATATCTTACCATAATCTAAAAAAAATTAATTTTTAAAAAGGAGAATGAAAAGACAAATATTTATAAATTATGTAAGTATCTAGAATCCTAATATATAAAGAAAATTTACAATTCAACAACAAAAAGATAAACAACCCAATTAAAAATGGACAAAGGACCTGAATGAATGTTTCTCAAAGGAAATACAGAAATGCCTAACAAGCACATGAAAAGATGCTCAAGAACATTACTTATCAGCAAATGCAAATCAAAACCACAATGAGAAAAAAAAACCCACAATGAGAGACCTCTCCACACCCCCTAGGATGGCTATAATAAAAAGAAAACAAAACAAAATAATAAGTGAGAAGGTGGATAAAGTAAAGCCTGAAACACTGCTGGGGACAAGGTAAAATGGGACCGCCACTGTGGAAAACAGTTTGACAATTTCTCAACAAGTTAGAAACATGCATAGCACATACCATGTGACCCAGCAATTCCACTCCTAGGTATTAAAACAATAGGCACTAAAACAGGTACTCAAGTTGAAGCTTGTCGACCAAAAAAGGATCAAGTACTGACACATGCTATACCATGAATGAAAGAAAACACTGTGCTAAATGGAAAAAGCCAGACAGAAAAGTCTACATTTTGTAGGATTCCACTTAGGTGAAATGACAGAAGAGGAAAATCCACTTCCTGATAGAAAGTAGATTAATGGCTGCCAGGGGCTGAGGAAAGGGAGAAATGGTGAGTGAATACTTAATGAGTACAGGGTTTCTGTTTGGGATGATGAAAAAGTTCTGGAACTAGATAGGAGTGACAGTTGCACAATATGAATGCATTTAATGCCACTAAATCATATACTTTAAAATGGTTGAAATGGTAAATTTTATGTTACAAGTATTTGACCACAACAGAAAAAAAAAAGATCCTATTCTGTATAAATGAAAAAGAAAATAATTCCATTTAACTTTTCTGGAATGGTTGTGCCAGTTAGTTTGGGAGCATGTTAGTTGCTTTCTTGAAACTGCCCCTTACTCTTCATGACTATTTTTCACACAAATGTATGTAAAACTAGAATGTCTTTTCTAAAAGTATTAACTTTTTACATGTGCATGTATGAAATTAAAATGTTATCAATTTGTTAAATGCTTTTATTTATTTATTTATTTTAATGTTTTATTTTTGAGAGAGAGAGGGGGAGAGAGAGAGAGAGAGAGAGAGAGAGAGACAGAGTGTGAGCAGGGGAGGGGCAGAGAGAGAGGGAGACACAGAACCCGAAGCAGGCTCCAGGCTCTGAGCTGTCAGCACGTGGGACTCGAATCCATGAACTGTAAGATCATGACGTGAACTGAAGTCAGATGCTTAACTGACTGAGCCACCCTGGCACTCCGGTTAAGTGCTTTTAAAATCATAAATGGTTATGGGGGAAAAGAGACATCTCTATGCAAACACAACTGGAAAACTCCAGTTTCCTATATAATAATGTAAGCAATTTTCTAACTGTAGGCGTAAAGTATGCATTTTTTTCCTGTCTATTGAAAAGCTGCAAGGGAAATCTCTTAAATAAAAACATTAAAGTTTATACCAAGCAGGATTAGGATTATTCCATTTTGAACACTGATGTGAAAAACAGTAATTTAGTAAGCATTTTAAGAGCAGTTATTTCCCTAAACAATTTTGTTTTGTGGCTAACTCCCAATAAATATTACTGGTTATCTTTGTACATAGGCATTTTATTTTATTTTATTTTATTTTATTTTATTTTTTTTTTCAACGTTTATTTATTTTTGGGACAGAGAGAGACAGAGCATGAACGGGGGAGGGACAGAGAGAGAGGGAGACACAGAATCGGAAACAGGCTCCAGGCTCTGAGCCATCAGCCCAGAGCCCGACGCGGGGCTCGAACTCGCGGACCGCGAGATCGTGACCTGGCTGAAGTCGGACGCTTAACCGACTGTGCCACCCAGGCGCCCCAACCATTGTAAAATTTAAAAAATCTGTTACACTGGGGCGCCTGGGTGGCTCAGTTGGTTGAGCGTCCGACTTCGGCTCAGGTCATAATCTCACAGTTCGTGGGTTCGAGCCCCGCATCAGGCTCTGTGCTGACAGCTCAGAGCCTGGAGCCTGCTTAGGATTCTGTGTCTCCCTCTCTCTCTCTATCCCTCCCCCACTCATGCTCTGTCTCTGTCTCAAAAATAAATATAAACATTAAAAAATTTTTTTAAATCTGTTAGTTTAAAAGAATAAAGGATTCATAGTCAAAATATAAAAGTGGAATGAAATGTTGCTTAAATATAATTCACTTAATTTTTTTTTTTAGATGTCACACAAAAAAAACTAACCTTTCAGGTGGTGTACTTTTAAAAACCCCACTAGACCATCAAAGAGCATATTTACATATTTACATTTATATTTACATATTAGAATTTAAAAAAATGAATTAAAGTCAGAAATAACTTTAGGCACACTGAGGTGGCTCAGACGGTTAAACATCCAACTCTTGATTTTGGCTCAGGTCATGACTTCACGATTCTTGAGTCCGAGCCCTGTATCAATCAGACTCTTGTGCTGACAGCACAGAGACTGCGTGGGATTCTCCCTCTCCTCCCCCTCACTCTTCCTCTCTGCCCCTTCCCTGTCCGTGCTCTCTCTCCCCCTCTCTCAAAAATTAATAAACATTTTTAAAGAAAAGAGATAACTTTATATATAATCCCAAAAGGCATTTTGCTTCTACAGGCACTTAAAGCTTAATGTTCTTACTGTTATTAGATATATTTATGAGTAATGTTTATTAATTTGTAGGTCTTTGTTAAAGAAACACTTTTAAGATAAAAATTCTTGGGGCGCCTGGGTGGCTCAGTCAGTTAAGCGTCCGACTTCGGCTCAGGTCATGATCTCGCAGTCCGTGAGTTCGAGCCCCGCGTCGGGCTCTGTGCTGACAGCTCAAAGCCTGGAGCCTGTTTCGGATTCTGTGTGTCTCTCTCTCTGACCCTCCCCCGTTCATGCCCTGTCTCTCTGTGTCTCAAAAATAAATAAACGTTAAAAAAAAAATTAAAAAAAAAAAAGATAAAAATTCTTTGCAAAAATTCAAGAAACTATGAGAATTCTAAGAAGGTCCTTTATTACATATTCTGAAATATTACAGACTCTTAAAATTAGCCAAAGTCTACTTAACTGTCACATGAACACAAGTTCTAAGCTTAAACCATATCAAAAGGCTTCTGTGTGGAAAGATTAGAACTATACAACCCTAAGTTAACTCTCTTCACTTTCAAAGGCCTTCCCATCCTCATCAAATAATGATTTGCTTCAAAGATCCATTATATAAGATTTATCCAAGGGACATAATATCAAAGGGAAGTTACTTGCCATTATAATTTTCAAAAAGGCTAGAAAAAGGGAGTCTTCTTTTTTCATAAAGAAAAGTTGGTCCTCTTTTAACACCCTCCTCTGCCATTTTAGTCCTAATGTCAATTATATCTAAGTTCAATTTGTAGAGTTATTACACTGTCCAGTGTATAAGAAGAAAGGAAATGGGTACTTAAAAGACTTAACATGGCATTCATAATGGAACTTGATCTCTGTCAGGTTTAAAGACTTACAAAAGAATGTTCTTTTACTCTAAGCTAATTTTCCATTTTAGATTGCCAGGCTAACAGTTCAGGAAAAAAAAATTATTAATAGAAGGTAGAAGTGAAAGAAATTTCAAGAATAGTATTTTAGTGAAAGAATAGATTAGATCAGTTTCCAATGGAAATGTTTAAGAGAACACATACATGTCTAATCACAAATGGAGGTTTATCTGTTTCTTTTTTGAATTCATAGGGTCCCAGATTTAAATGGGCCAGCCGCCGCCTGGTGTCTTCAGATAGCTCACACATGCGTCTTTTTGTGTAGGGAGATGGAGAGTGTGATTTTGAAGAAATTGTAGGCTGTTCGTAGTTTTTTGCATTTATGCAATATTTATTTCTCTCAGGTGACTTGGATTTTTTCTTCTGTGATCTTGATGTTCTGCTTTGCAGTCTGCCGTGTGATTTTTCAACTGGAGCCGTATGGTAAATAAATTTATCCTAAATATACGAAATAAAAGTTAACTTAGGCAGAAGACATATGTAGAAATATATGTAGATATATCTATCTATATATAAACTACAGGTAGGAAAAAAATTTAAAAATTAATTTAAAGCACATATAATCTATCAAAGCCAACTAGATTAGTCTTTCCTATCTATCCTAGATAACTCTTTGTCTAGTAGTTAATAAAGTATATGGTATTAAGTCTAGCAAGTCCAATATTTAATCATTTGAAAAATCTAAGAAACAAGGTCAGAAAAATCAGTTTTCAGTATATTAAAAAATGAATGTAAACATTGGTTTATCATTTATAATTAAAAGTATCCAAGTAACTGACTATATAGTTTAAGAGGACTCTCTTTAGTAATGTTACAAATACGCATGGCTAATTAGTTGCTTATGACATCTTTATGGAGAAAACATAAAATAAGTTTCACTTATACTGCTATGATTATATACATACGTATAATGTAAACATCTGAAAAAGCTTTATACATGTTTTCATGAAATGTATTGTTTGGATTATACAAGATGATTAGTATTTTAAGATCTCTTTCAAACCAAAACTTTACAATTTAATGACCAATAGTCATTCCACCTTAATTCTGATACCATATTTTTATAAATGTAAGAAGACATGAAAGACACATATAAATGTTAATGACTAGTATTCTGCTAGTAAAAATGGTTAGCAGTCTAAGTTTTTAAAAACAAATGTTATATTTCCAAACTTTTTTGTGTTATTAGGATAACATTTCATTTAGTCCCTGCCTTATAAGTGCCTTAAAATTTGGATTACTAGTAAATAACATAAGACCTCTTGACTCATTATCTAGAATTATAAGATTTCCAATATTAGAGAAAATGGACAGTGAGAGAATCTTTGTATTTCTAACTTTAATAATTTTAAAAACCTATCAATCCTACCTCCCTCTCTACTTTCTCAACCCCTCCCTTCCCTGCTCGTTAAGGGTATTTATTCTAATAAAATACAAATGTGACATAGAAGGGAAGAGTCAAATATTTTTAAAAAGTAAACAGGAAAAAAATGTATTTTTCCAACTGGAAAAATAAGCCCATGGGTTTCATACAAACCAGCACCATCCGAATATTTCTTCATCTTCCTTCTGCAGCTATTAATATGCTCCCACCTTCTCCCACCTTGTTCAATGACTTCAACAAGTCATTCAGAATTTTTCTACCTTAACACATTTCATCCATCTCTATGACATCACACTGATGCACAGAAGCAGGAATGTTAGCACAGGCAAGGACCTTTGAGGTTTAATAAAATGTTCAAGTAGTGAAGATTTCCAAGACCTTGGACTCAGGCTTCGGTTTCGCAGCTTTAATTACTTTTACTCACCTCATCTTAGATTTCGTCATTGTGCAGATCCACTGCATTCCAAACTCTGAAATCCCTTGCTGACCAAAACTACTTTTCCTCATGGTACTTCTTTTATTCTCGCTGAATCTGCTACTTGCCCTCATCACCTCCTCACTCCCTGGACTCTTTTCTTCAAATCTTCACACATTTTTAATATCTCTTACCTCCAGACACAGATGAACCATAATCATCTCTTTCAACAGTGCTATAAAGTTGCTTTGATTATATCAAATCTAAAATAACTAACCTCATCTTTCTTGGTTACAGTTTACGAATGTTGAATACTAGCAGAGGAAGTTATAAACTAAGATATATCTAGTACAGATACATGCTGTCTAACTCTATCCAATCCTGAATGCATCCTGTTCCTTCCCAGTAGAGCTGAAAATAGTGGTTGTTATATGCTGTTAACACAGTGGGTCCCTCTGACCAACAGGGTAATAGCATGTGACATAAGGAGAGTCTTGAAAAGTGCTCAAGTCTTTTACTCCTTTTTGACAACCATCCTGCCTGCATGTGAATGAGCCAAAATTAGGCTACTAGAAGATGAAAGTATTGTGGCCACGATTCCGGCTAAAATCAAGCCAATTACCAGGAACATAAAGCCCTTCCCAGACCAGAAACTCAGCCAACTGCCAGACAGAGTGAAGCTATCCTAGATCAGTCAGCCCCAGCCTTGCCAGTTCAAACCAAAAGAACCACTCAACCAATACACAGAACTGTGAGAAACATTTTATTTTAAGCCACCAAGTTAGCGTTGCTTTTTACAAAGCAAAACCTACCCGATATAGCAGACTAACACACATATTAATAAAACTACTACTGACATTTAACTAATTCATAATAAAGTCTACCTTTAGTAAGTAAAAAGTGTAAGTAGAAAACTAGTTTTATTTCAGAAATTCACAATAATATGCTTAATTTTTTCAATCCATTCAACTGGTGACAACACATCAATTTGAAAATAATGTGCCAAAAGGAATAGAGATCATTACAAGTATTTGTAAACTTAAATAATTTTATAGTTTCTTTCACTCATTCTCTCTTAAAAACCAAAATGGTTTGTCTTATTCTTATGTTTGAACCTGAAAATGCTGCTTTACAGCCATTAAAATTTTAATTTTAACCAATATTCAGTTTTTTAAAAGTAGATTTATCACATTTTCTTTTTAAAAAAAATTTTTTTTTAACATTTATTTATTTTTGAGACAGAGATAGACACAGCATGAACGGGGGAGGGGCAGAGAGAGAGAGAGGGAGACACAGAATCGGAAGCAGGCTCCAGGCTCTGAGCCATCTGCCCAGAGCCCAACGCGGGGCTTGAACTCGTGGACCGCGAGATCGTGACCTGAGCTGAAGTCGGACGCTTAACCGACTGAGCCACCCAGGCGCCCCTCACATTTTCAAATAAGGGCAAGTAAGATTAAAATCCTGGCTGGTAACATTCAAAATTTTAATGTGTAAGTATATATTCTGTTGTGCCTACCAGACAATGTTTTCTATCTTTTATTTTACTTATTGTCTTCCCTCCCAATTATCTTTAAAAAAACTTCAGTAACAGTCACTAAATTATTTAGTTATATGTTATGTGCCAGACACACTGCATATATTCTCTAATTTAATATTTAAGGCAGCCTGATGAGGAACTTGAACCCAGATCTGATTCTGAGGCATATTTTCTTAAACAATGTCTGACACTGAAGCCTATCCTATTATATCTGTTCAATGAATAACAAATGACAAACACTGAAATAGCAAGTTAAAAAAATAGCAAGTTAAAAAATGGCAAGTTAAAAAACTTCACGGAGGAAAATGTTAATTCCTAAGTCTGATGAAAGTCCTATTGGGGGGATAATTTTACATTTAGAAAGGATTCTTCACCAAGCTGTACACTTAGAACGTGTGTACCTTTCTGAGCATATGCTCTACTTCATACTTTTCTACCCACCCACCAGAAGGGCAGACCCCGATGAGGAGAGAAAAAATTTGTCTGAGTCCGGGTAAAACATTTTTAACAATTTACAAAAATGCACAGTACATATCTCAAAACAAGTCAGTAACATCTCTGCATCTGGCAAGCATAGGTTGTTAGATCTCTACTAGCTGCATTTCAGAGACAAATTAACTATAGCCATACTATGTATCTTGTCAAACAACGTAAGAATGAGCCCCTTAATAATTTCATATAAACCATGCTTTACCTTCTTAGCTTACATCACAGTTATCATCCTTAGCAAATTTACTCTAAAACTGAGAGTACAGTAAATTAACACTCCGCTCTTGCCACCATGGGCCCAGTCCTGCCTCGTTTGGATCCTCAGGGCTTTATATGCTCCTGGCTCCTCATCCATCACAGGCTGTTCATTGTTACCTAATCATAATGCAACTGCATATGAGTGATGCCTAGACATTATTAGATAATTTGTGGACAAGGCAGTAAGATGATCTTGGGGACTCAGTGAAAAGTTAGATTGGAATGAAATACCAAGTCCATATAACTTAGTTGACTAAACGCAGTTTTTACAAATACACAAGGTACTTAGGGTGAAGTGTCCAAGCTTCCCTTAGTCTGATACCATCAGTGTGGCCACCAAACTGAGCAAGAATCATTTAAGGAATGAGAGAGACTCAGGAAACCATACTTACTAAACACCAATATCCCCGCATGAAAACCTCTGGTCACATTTGCTAAAAAGAATCCTCTGAACTTTTTGCAGTCATCTGTAACTCCTATAAGATTTATAGAAGCCTCCCATCTAGCTCTCTGTAAGGCTTCTTGATCTCAACATCTCTCTGGCAGACTGATTTCTTTGCATTAAAAAAAAAAAAAGGCCCATGGCATTACAAATGATAATTGCATCGTGGCACCGCCTATCATGTGTACCAAACTCTTCACTCTCACATTTAAGATGCAACTGAACTGCTAAATACCTTTGATAATTGTTTTGCTTACACTCCAGATTGACCCAAAAAAATGAAATGAGCTACGGTCAAAATGAAAGCATAATTCTCTCAAATGCCCATAACTATCAACAAATAAGTTAAACCATTAAATAATTTAAATAAATGATTTGAAGGGCGCCTGGGTGGCTCAGTGGGTTAAGTGTCTGACTTTGGCTCAGGTCATGATCTCACGGTTTGTGAGTTCGAGCTCCGTGTCAGGCTCTGTGCTGACAGCTTGGCGGAGCCCAGAGCCTGCTTTGTATTCTGTGTGTGTGTCTCTCTCTCTGGCCCTCCCCTGCTCACACTTTGTCTCTCTCTGTCTCTCAAAAGAAATGAATAAACGTTTAAAAAAAATTTATAAATAAATAAATAAATAAATAAATAAATAAATAAATAAAAGATTTGAACCTGAGTGCGGCACTTCCTCGAGCTTATCAGACATTCAGTTATCACTGAGGTCGTAGAAAATTCCAGCTTTGGAGCAATTCCCTGAGTAAAAAAAAAATAATAAAAAAAGGTATTATTAATTATTTCAATTTCTGAAAAAATAGAACTATTAGTGATAAAACCATGACCTGAAGTAACAAACACTTATCAAGACTTAGCCACTTCATTTGTTAGTTTGACCTTCCTACTAAAACTAAAGACAACACAGTGATGCTAAATGTTAGCAAGTAACAGTTTCATTGCTGATGATTCCCTTACAAGTGATTATATTACCTTTATGTAAAACAGAATGCTTTTTCCATTTTCCAGTATTTCCCTGTCAAATTATTCTAAGATTTTTAAACTATGATACAATAATACTAAAGTCAGAAATATATAAAAACACTTAATGGATTTGAGCTCTTTTTACTTTTACAAATTAACTTACTTAACTACACAATCAAGAAGTACTTTGGTGGCACTTAGGTGGGTTAGTTGGTTAAGCATCTGACTCTTGATTTCGGCTCAGGTGGTGACCTCATTGTTCGTGAGATCCAGCCCCGCACTGGGGCTCTGCGCTATTAGCTTGCAGTGCTTGGCATTCTCCCTCTCCTCTATCTCTCTGCCGCTCCCTCCTCCTCCTCCTGCTTGTGCTCTCTCTCTCTCTCTCTCTTTTTCAAAATAAATAAACTTAAAAAAAATACTTTGGACACTCTCCTCATGTTAAAAAAAATTACACCTTGTAGATATGCAGTTCTTGAAACAGAAGAGAGATAAGTCTCTACCAACTCCGCCAACATTTCTCCCCTTAATGTATGAGTTACATTCAGATCTATGAATGAATCTGGCTTCTATTGCTCGCAACATTTCAAACATCAGCTTTAACGCTGTTTTGAAATAAGTGGAGACAAATGGTAAAATTCAAAGGAACAGTCACAAAGCACCTGCCGAAATATTTGGAAGCACACAAATCACACATTCACCAAAACATGAAAAGATATTGTGTATGCCCAGTGCAACTTCATTCTAATGTAGAAGTCAGATATTCGTCCTCTACAAACCCAGCCTTTGACCTACTAACTTGAGAATTTCAAACATCACACATTACAGAAAAGGTAAATATGAGTTGCCTGACAATTAACCAAATGATTGTTTTTCTGCAATCCTCTTTTATTAATGATGCCCACCATGCCTATTTATTAGTTATCTATTGCTACACAGCATATTACTTAGTAGTTTATAACGAATGTATGTGCTTATTATTTCACATACTTTCTATGGGTCAGGAATCTGGCAGAAGCTGAACTGGGTGGTTCTTGGCTCAAAATCTCTCATGAGATTGCAGTCAAGATGTTTGGGCTGCCGTTATCTGAAGGTTTACCGGGGGCAAGAGGATCTGCTTCCTAAGAAGGCTCATTCACACAGCTGTTGGCTGGAGGCCTCAGTTCTTTTCTAGTTTTTAGCAAGAGGACTCAGCTCCTCAACACGTAAACATCCTGAGTGTCTTCATGACACGGCAGCTAAGTTCTCCCAAAGCAAAGCAAGGAGAAAGCCACAATTGTTATTATGACTTACTCATCTAAGTCTAACACTGTCACATCTCATTGTATTCATTACAGCCCTGAAGTACAGCCCACACTCAAGGACAAAGGAGTTAGACTTCCTTTTCAGCGGAGGAATATCAAACATTTGTGGACATATTTTATTTCATTTTTTTAAAAATTTTTAAATGTTTGTTTATTTTTGAGAAAGAGAGAGAGAAAGAGAGACAGAGCGAGCGGGGAAGGGGCAGAGAGAGGAGACACAGAGTCAGAAGCAGGCTCCAGGCTCTCAGCTATCAGCATGGAGCACGACACAGGGCTCAAACTCACAAATGGTGAGATCACGACCTGAGCCAAAGTCAGACACTTAACCACCTGAGCCACCCAGGCGCCCCTCATTTCATTTTTAATGTTTTTATTTATTTTTGAGAGAAAGAGAGACAGAGTGTGAGCAGGGGAGGGACACAGAGGGAGGGAGACACAGAATCTGAAGCAGGATCCAGGCTCTGAGCTATCAGCACAGAGCCTGACACGGGGCTCAAACCCACATGAGATCATGAGATCTCATGACCTGAACCGAAGTCAGATGCCACCCAGGTGCCCCATGGTGGACTTATTTTAAAACCACCACTCTACCCTCTGACCACAAGTTACTTAGACTCCTTTCATGTGTAAACTAAACTCATGCCCTATAAAGAAAAAAGAAAAAAAGAAAAGGGAAAGAAAGCAAGCAAAGCAAAGCAAAGTCTCATCCTTTTACAACTTCAGCTTGAAATCCAGGATGTTGGCATCTAAGTCAAGTCCTTATTCAACCTCCACAGATGTGGTTCTTTAAGAGCAGTTCTGACAATACAGTCCCTCACAGTTGGAAGACTTGTGAACCAAAGAGACAAGATGTCTGCCCCACATATACCCAAAATACACATGTACAGCAGGCATAGGATAACCACTACAGATATTCTTATTCACAAAAGGAGAAAACAAGAGGCAAACAGGAATCACTGGTCCATTGAAATTCTAAAATCCAGCCAGGAAAATGTTAGAAGTTCCTTGATTAGAAGTTTAGCCCTGTTCCTGATCAGAAATAACTATTCTCTGGGCTCCTCTGGGCTCTTGCTTCCATCCTCTAAATTATCATTCCTTCTCAATGAGAGGTAGACCATATGTTAGAGCTGCACAGTGTTCTGAGTGTGAGTCCTGTCAACAGAATTCTGGGGGTCCAATTTTCATTTTGTGAGGTCTCTCTGCATTTCAGACCAAGCTGGAGGTATTTCCAACAATATAATGCTCTTTATTTTTTTTTTTAATTTTTTAACATTTATTTATTTTTGAGACAGAGAGAGAGAGAGAGAGAGAGAGAGAGAGAGAGCATGAACAGGGGAGGGTCAGAGAAAGAGGGAGACACAGAATCTGAAACAGGCTCCAGGCTCTGAGCTGTCAGCAAAGAGCCCGACGTGGGGCTCAAACCCACGGACCGTGAGATCATGACCTGAGCCGGAGTCGGACGCTTAACCGACTGAGCCACCCAGGCACCCCAGTATAATGCTCTTTAAAAACATGTGTGGTTCTCCTATGAATCTTATTGCAGGTCACTCCATTAGACCAAAGCTGCACACTTCTCTCCACTGGGCTTCTGCTGAGACTGCCCTTACGCATCTTCAAAAAAACCTGATATTCGATTAAATTATTTTCTAAGACAACATCTTGGATCTTTCTGAGATTTTAATGAAGAATTATATAGTCACACCCTAGGTTTCACCATCAGACCACAATTTCCCAAAAGTGCCTGGAATGATTTTTGCTCAGAAGTCAACCCTTAATTTTAGCATTATCTGCCATTGGGAAAAGTGGGGAATCTTCAGAAACAGTAAGTTCAACTCCTTTTTGCTAAACAGCCTTTCCTTTTGCTTATCTCTCTCCTCTCATACTTTGCTATAAAGCAGCAAGAGAAAACCAAGCAGACCCTCTAACAATCTATCTGAAAGTCTTAGACCACTCATTTCCTTAAATATTTCTCTACATTACTGCAGATGACTATATGGCTAAATTTTCTGCCATTACATCACAAAGATTCCTCTTTTTATTTATTATTTATTATCTATTTTTAATTTTTTTAATGTTTATTTACTTTTGAGAGAGAGAGTATGAGCAGGGCAGGGGCAGAGAGAAAGAGTGAGACACAGAATCTGAAGCAGGCTCCAGGCTCCAAGCTTTCAGCACAGAGCCTGATGTGGGGCTCAAACTCAAGAACAGTGAGATAATGACCTGAGCCAAAGTCAGATGCTTAGCCAACTGAGCCACCCAGATGCCCCCATAAAGATTCCTTTTAACCCTAATTCCAATAACATTTACCTTACTTTCTGCAAGCACACATCTGACAGTTTCTTCAAGACCTTTCAAGCTTTTACAAACATTCTAGCAAAGCCTTCCCAGCTTCTGCCCTCTCTGTACAGTTGCTTGAGTATCTTCACACATGGCAGTTGGCTTAGCCCAAAGTAAGCGATACAAGGGTGAGTACAAGAAGAAAGCCACAATGCATTTAAAGACCTGGTCTCCAAGGTCCAATACTGTCACTTCACCACATTTTATCTGTTAGAGTCACTAAGTATAGTCTGTAGAATTAGCTCCAACTTTGGAAGAGAGAAGTATCAAATCATTTGTGGACATATTTTATAACTACCATAGCCTGGATTGCAACTTATCACTTTACCCTTCCCCATATATTGCTGGTCACATAGTAAATACTCAGTGTTTTAGCCATTATTTTCACTGAGCATTCAAAACCATTGTGTTGGGGTTCTCTGGGAAAACAGAACTAATAGGAGAGGGAGGGAGAGAAAGAGAGAGAGAGCGCGCAAGATTTATTTTAAGGAATTGGCTCATGCAATTATGAGAGTGGCAAGTCCAAAATCCAGAGGGCAATCCAGAGGCTAGCAACTCAGACAAAAGTTGATATCACAGTCTTGTGTGTGAAATCTGTATGCAAGCTAGCCGGGTAAAATTTAGGTTGTATCAGGGCGCCTGGGTGGCGCAGTCGGTCAAGGGTCCGACTTCAGCCAGGTCACGATCTCGCGGTCCGTGAGTTCGAGCCCCGCATCAGGCTCTGGGCTGATGGCTCAGAGCCTGGAGCCTGTTTCCGATTCTGTGTCTCCCTCTCTCTCTGCCCCTACCCCGTTCATGCTCTGTCTCTCTCTGTCCCAAAAATAAATAAACGTTGAAAAAAAAAATTTTTTTTTAAATTTAGGTTGTATCTCTACATTATAGTTTTGAGGCAGAATCCCTTATTGTTTGGGAAACCTTAGGTTTTGCTCTTCAGGCCTTCAACTAATTGGATGAGATCCACCTACATTGTCAATGGTAATCTCCTATACTTAAAGCCAACTGTTTGTAAACATTAATTACATCTACAAAATACTTTCACAGTAACATCTAGACTAGAGTTTGACGAAACAACTGGGCACCATAACCTAACCAAGTTGATGCCTAAAATTAATCATCACTCCATCTCAAATGTCAGTTCCT